GGCAGCACAGGCGCCGGGCCACGGCAGGTAAACTGAGGCCGGGCGGGGACGGAGGCGGGCCCTCCCTGCTGGCCCGGGACCATTCTTCCCCGCCACGGCCCGTTTCGCAGGGCTTGTGTTACGTTTTCTTTTGGATTTGTGGTTTGTTTTGTTTGTTTGTTTGTTTTGTTTTTTGAGACAGGGTCTCACTGTGTGGTCCAGGCTGGCCTTGAACACACCATGTAGCCCAGGTTGGCTTCTGACTTGCGGTGATCCTCCTGCCTCAGCCTCCAGAATGCTGAGTTTGTAGTGATAGGCATGTGTACACGGCAAGACCGCCGTCAGTGTGAGACATTTCAAGGGTGACTGAGTGAGCGGATCTCGGAACCCTGCGAAGTGATTCAAGCCCGTGCTCACAAGACTGAGCCTTTAAGGATAAGGAGTAGAATGAAGCACTTTGGTGGCATTGGTGGGGTCAGAGGTCGGGAAGCCGCTGGTCCACACCCAGGCACCCACGGGGGAGGCCCTCTGAAACTCAGTCGTAGTGCTGCCCTGCGAGAGTCCTTTCCCATCTGAGCCATGGTAAGGGTGCTGGCGAGATGATGACAGGTATTTTTCCTGGAGTCTTTCAGTCGTGCTTTGTAGCCCAAGGTGACCTTGAACTCAGTATGTGGCCCAGGCTGGCCTCAAATTTTGAGCAGTCCTCTTGCCTCAGCCTCCTAGTACTGGGATAACAGGCGTGTGCCACGGCACTTGGCTCTGTTTTCTTTTTTAATTACTGTTGTTAGGAAAGTTGTTCTCCCTGGCTGCTTATGGAGTCTTTTTCTTGACAGAGGTAGAAATGCAGTGTGTTAGTTGCACGCTGTGAACACATCCATTAATGTTAAGCAAGGATTTAATCTTTTAAGTATCTATCGTTTAAAATTATGGTGATTTGACTGATTTCTCCTTTCGACAAGTGTTTTGTATTCTTGGCCCTTAGGCTGTGTTTTCTTGCTCTGAGGAGCTCAGGGCTGTGGCAGAGTGGACAGGTGGCAGGAAGCCCTAGTCATTAATCAGGTGTCAGGCAGAGTTGCATGGGCAATAGGGTATCATCACAATAGAATCCCGATCCTGTCATCCCAGCACTCAGGAGGCTGAGGCAGGAGGATTGCTGTGGATTCAAGGCCAGCCTGGGCTACATAGCGAGACCTGGTCTCAAAAAAAAAAAAAAAAGCCCCAAAAACAAAACAAAAAAAACAGTGGACTCTGGAGGGGAGGACTTGATGGCCAGCGCTGATGGTGAGGGTACCGGTGCCCTACGGGCTCAGAGCTGCAGCAGGTGCAGGGACAGGTTTTTGCACGGAGACTGTGGCCTGTCAGGGCCAGCGCCATAACCTTCACGACTAGCTCTCTGGGAGAAGCCAGAGTCACCCCAGGCCCTCCAGCCCCTGGGCCTCACAGCTCCACCAGCCGCGCCGCCACGCCCGGCCACACGGTGTGGTTTGGGAAGGGGAACGCAGCCAGATGCATTCGCCAACACACACTGGCTTCCCCTCGCGCCTGCTCCGCACACCGTGGTGGTTGGGACCCGTTGCTGCATCCGCTTTTGTCGGGAGCCTGGGCAGTGCTGTGGGCAGAAGCTCGTGGCCAAGGCTGGGTGTCTTCTCTCTGCAGGGAGGCGGAGGCGGAGGCGGAGGCGGAGGCGGGAGAGGCG